GTGGACACAGAAAAGTCAGATGAATTTGGCGTATGAAAGGTTGTTGTAAGTAGTTTGGTAATAAGTTATGAAGTGATCAAAGTAACTGTATAAATATCTTATTTTTAATTAGCAACTGCAAAAGTTTATGTAGTGAATTTCTCGTTCCAAGTTTTTGCCGTGGTTTTGCGTAAAATGTTCTCCAATCGTAATCTGTCGAATTTTTGCATATTTTTCAGGCATGTTCACTGCTTTTCGCGACTTACCACACGTGCAGTGCCTGTATAATTTGTGCGCTCTATACGGCCTGTGTGCTGAATTGATAAGGGAGTAGAAGCCTTTGTCAGGCAACATGACCTTTAGCTTCTGCTTCCTTTTGCTGTACCCAGTGAAATCAACAACAATTCAGTAGTTGAAGTTAGTCTCAACGTACTCCCGTCGTTCACCTCTGCTGTTCTTGATAACTTTTTAAGTATTCTTATTTTTAGCGCTTTGCATAATCATCAGCTCTCGCGGCACTCCACACTGAACCAAGGGTGATTTATAATGGAAGACGTGTCCCTGGAAAACTGCATTCCGTATCAAAACAATGCCTTCTGTGACCTCGGATTAGGAGGGAAACGCATTGTGTCCTCCGCTCACTTGATCGTTGCTCGCGTCGAAGGTTCCGCCGCAATATGCCACACGCATCCCATTGAGCAGACTGGTAAGGGCTACCATATCGCCTTTTTTTACGCCTTACCCTTGGAGCAAGCCACAACGGTGCTAGCAATCGCGTCAACATCCATGGTAGGTCAACTGTAGCAAAGAGCGCACTGTGTGACGATCTACATCGAAGGTCGAATCAGATTAAATTGTACTGTTTGCTGTTGCTGTTGTTTACTTTAAAAGTAGATAAATATGTTGGTTGTCGTATAGGTCGAGTGTATCGTGTAATCTCCAATGATAAATATTCTAAAAAAATTCAGAATAAGGTATCATAAGTAAGGAGATACTGTTGCTAAACTTGGGAGTCTGTGAGCAGTAGTCACGCTGGTGTGTTGTTAAACTATAGTGATTAACTGTGAACCCATCTTCACTTTGTTATCAGTGTACTGATCTTTCACACATGTTGTCTCGCAGTCGCGACGGTTAAGAAGGCTGCGGCAAGTCTGGGAAATGCAGGCACTCTTTGTTTGGGCGAACTTGTACCCGGAAAATGAATACTCAAAATACAAGCGATACACGCACTACGCTGATAGCGATGAAAATGGCCGTCGACTGCCGAGTAATCTGGTGATCTGTGCAACGCGTCGTCCATGTTATTAAATCAGCCATTGACTCCTTCCAGCGTTATTACTGGTGCTTGCGTGAGCTCCCGAATAAACTTGACTATTCGCGTCCTGCGCATAACCTTAACAGAATGACTTCGAGCAATCGCGAAGCTTCTCAAACATCGCGGTGGCATGACCTACGTCGAGCATTGCCAAATGTTTGTGCGGATGAAATCGGAATACGTCAAAACTAAACAATAAACACGCATTGCAATATGCAATGTATCCTATGGAAGCCCCAGATTTAAGACATATTTATCCCTTGTATATTTTAAAAATATATTTTTGTAAAGGTTTTCGGACGACCGTGCTGTCTGGCAACAAAGCAGAGAGCGTCCCTCGCTACTGAGAAGCCCTATTCAAACGCGAATTTGTCGTACGCACGCGTACAGTGTCTGTGCGGAGAAGGCAGCGCCGGACGCACTGTATATTCTAGAAACTAAGTGTTTACCTGTCACGCACGAGTAACTAACTGTAAAAGAGTCTTTCCACGCAATTATATCAATCTACACAATATCTACATACGTGCATAACCAGGCGATATGGCTATTTGGCGTTGTACTGTTAAGCAAGAGGGTGCCGGTTCTATTCTCGGCCACGGTTGCCGGATTTCGATATGGGTGAAATGTAAAGCCGTCCGTATACTTACATCTATGGGAAACCGTAAAGAGGACACTCGTAAAGAGTCACTCTATAACGAGGCAAAGCAATCAAGGAACCACTGGGGCGAGTCTAGTCACGATATCATCGTAGCGACACGCAAAACTCCATAATTTTGGAGCATCAGGTAGCATGAGAATGGGGCAATCTGACCGCGAACTCTGTACATTAAAGAAGAAGAGCGATGAGAGCAAAACTGCTATCTCTGCCGATGCGAATTTCAAAAGGTCGCTGTTATTATTTTAAGGGGCACATAATTATGAATAACGTGTACATTGCCAGCCCATTCTGAGAAAAAGGTAAAAAGATGATAAATATATGATAAAGTGACGAGTGAGCAAAATGTGAAGAGGAAAGACAAAAAATACAATTAATAATGATGCTGATTCACAACAGACTCTTAAAACTTTGTGTCTCAGTGTCACGTAAAAGGTGTTGATGAATTACGACCTTGGTTACCGATGTAACTGCTCTAGCTTTACATACAGTTACTATCGCGAGGGCTTTAGTAGTTGCTAAGTGTTAGATTACCTGTCTACATAATTGTGGCATTTTATGTTGGTTAAACACGATGGTGATGTTTCTTTGTTAAAGTTGGTGCATATTTGTGTTACAGAACTTGCTGTGGAAATGCCTTCCTTACTATGCGAATACTATTCAAAAACTATGCGAATACCAATAGATTCGAATTTGTATTTGATTCGGCTCTAAAATTCACTAATTGTAGATCCCCAGTTTGTCAACTTGTCATGCCGGTGCCCAAAAGGATAACAGGATGCGAGAAATCCGTTAGGTAAAATTTAAGCACAGACGAAACAAGCGAATAGACCCTGCAACCGAGAGTAGCGGCAGACGAACGTACGCGATTAGAACGCCGTTGACAAGCGCATGTCGCAAGGCGGTTATCGAGGAAAACATTTAGGGAAGGGTGTTTCAGTTTTACTACAACTTGAAACCTGGCGAAGGGGCGAAGCATGCGGTGTTTTGTGAGAGATTTTTTTTTTTATGAGTGGTGCCGAGCGTGAAACCTGACGTGTAGGTTTATATACTGCACTCTGAATGCAGCTTACGCTAGAGTGCTTCTTTCCCTTCTTCCTTTTCCCCCTACATGCCCGGTTTCATTTCCCTATACGCCTTGTGGGGGAGGGTTTTTCTGTTCCACTTTATAGCGTCGTCTGCTATTTGTCGGAGGCACTGTGCCGTGCTCCCTACCAGGCTGCAAAAATTAGGTGCCTTTTTCCTCTTCTAACCACTACCAACACCTATTTGTTGGGCTAACTGTTCCCCTATTTTTTTTTTGGAGGGGGGGGGACCGGTGGCAAGTAGTGTAATTTACCAATTGTGGTGCATGCGCATTTTCGTTATAGACCGTGACAACATGACACAACGCAATGACAGGAGATACCGGCAACCCTAGTCACTAAGGTGATTCGCACCTAATGTGACACACTTTGACGCCGGAGACCTACACGCCTCGACATAACTAAGGACCAATGAACCACACCGAATTCAAAGGCGAGACAGTAGTTTTTTTATCGCGTTGGCTACCCTTCCCACGAGCTGTAAATCATCCTCGCCACTTATCTCTCCATAAAACGCGTGAAATATCAGCACCGAGTGTTCAGCTGGTCAGGACTTTGCACTTATTGACTACGCGCGGCTATCTACGTCTGCGCAGTCAAAACACAGAAAACGGAGTGAAATTGATTTATCGCGCATGAGAGGCATATACGAGTCAAGGTAGAGCAAGAATTCGACTGCACGGCAAAACAGGATAAGAGGCGATTCGCAACATGTATGACTCGTATATCGAGCAATCTAGTGCTTGTTTCATCCCGAGATCACGTGATCTGGCGTCACGAACTGTGCCGCAAAGACGGAAAACGCCAGGAGACACTAGCGCAGACGTTATTTGTATTTTATGAGGATGTTGCGGGGCCCCTTAACGTACGCAGGCTATGAGCGTTTGAGTTTCTTTGGTGGCGTCTAGCCCGTGTGACAAGTTTTCCTTGTTTTCCCGTTTATTACAGCTACAATAAATAAAAAAAGTGTCTTCTTCTCCATGTGACTTACTCCGCTTTTCATCACACAAAGTGTTCTTCTATTTCATGTATCTCTCTTGCTTACGGAACAACTGCTGTAGTTAGCAGCTTTCCTGCAAGACCGAAGATTTGTACAGCGAAGCTAGATCTTCTGATGCGAAATGAATGTCCACAGGGAGGTTATTCCCATGGCACGTACGTGCAGCGGAAATTTGCCAAACCACACTATACTCGGCGCTGGTCCGCTTGCGAAGCGGAGGAAATACGAATGCTGCTCAATTGACTTCTCAATATTGTGATCGAAACGCCAAGCGATGCTTGCTGACGCAAGTGGCGGCGGCAAGATGCATGCTGCTCAAACGTAAAACTTTAAAGGGGCACTTCAGAGAGGGGCTTTCTGTAGCTTCCTGTATACGTTTATTAAATATTCTGTGCCTTTCCATCTTTCGTCAAAATTTAGTGTCACATCTGTGAAGTGTGCTATACATATGCTTGGCTGGTCGTCTGCGTCCGCGAAGTAGAATGGCCCTGTGGTAACACCAGTGCTAAACACTGGGTCTCTCTTTTTCAGAGTCACTGGTGAACTATCTCCACGCGATGTAAGGATAATGAATAAAAAATAGTACTGTAGTCTGCCGGTTGAACATGTTAAAAAAAAAAGCGCCGTAGGTCTCAGCTATTGAGTTTTGCCACAATTTCAGCACACCTTACTTACGAGGATGACATTTTGGTTGCACAACAAGTTTCAATACACTTTGTAAGACATTGTAGCTGTGTCTGTTTTCACATATCAGTTGCGTTAACAGGATTAGTTTATTAAGCGGTGAACTTCTACGCTTTTTTTAGTAATGTGATATCCTTCGTGTACCAGTTGCTTGCCTTGTACACTGAATATTACAATATAGAAGTACATTGTCATTGATGCTCTATTGCCATTGAAGTTACCGTTTAAGCGCTTAGAAAAGTCCCCCCCCCCCCCCTAAAAAAAAAACCCCGAAGGCCCAAGTAACACCAAAATTACTTTATTTGGAACACAACATGACCAGTGATTCTGAAAAAAAATTCTCAACACCGTATAACAACACAAAAACGTGACAAACAAATCACTCAACTGGAGCGTCTTAATGAAGAAAACGTGCCACAAAGAAGACGTGTCAAAAAGGCAACCACCCATAACAGCCTCGCATAAATATCGTGGCATTAGGAACTGACTCAACATTACTGTGTACAACTTATCGATAATATATCCTATACTACCATCATTGTTCAATCGATTCTCGCCGAAGTGAGGACTACGGCTTACGTTTACACGCGATAATGGTGTTTCACAAAAGCCTTGCGACTTGCGCAGGCGGCAATGTTCGTATCTGATAGTCCTCGAAAAGGCTCGTTTAGCAACGTTTCGAAGGTAAACGTTATAGACTAGATGCGTTCTGGTAAACGAATCGCACGAAGCTGTAGCCAATTCAATTCCGGACGTTCGGCCTTCAACCGTATTTCACGGTAACTCGAAACAAGATGAAGATTACGACCTTTTCCAAACGCCACCATATGCAATGTGCACGTACTATGAAACCTCAACAGCGGCAGCTTTCGCGATGGTATACTGCACACCGTCCAGTAGTATCACAATGGGCAGCCGCGCGCACCCTTTTCGGCAGCTCTGCACATATATATGTGTGTCTGTTCATGGGGATAAATGGACGGCACGCTGTGTAAAAATCGCGACGGCTTGAGGCTGTTGATTGATATGTGGGGTTTAACATCCCAAAACCACCATATGATTATGAGAGACGCCGTAGTGGAGGGCTCCGGAAATTTCGACCACCTGGGGTTCTTTAACGTGCACCCGAATCTGAGTACACGGACCTACAACGTTTCCGCCTCCATCGAAAATGCAGCCGCTGTAGCCGGGATTCGAACCCGCGACTTGCGGGTCAGCAGCCGAGTACCTTAGCCACTAGACCACCGCGGCGGGGCGGCTTGAGGCTGTTAGGGTTTCATTTGACGCTGATAGTACATGACGAGTTACGGATGGACCTGTATCGCTTTTTTTTCCCACCTGAAAGTGCTTAAGTGTGAAATTTCACCCGAGAGATACTTAAGACATTTCTTTCCTTGGTACACAACGCGATAATCGCCAAGTGCCACCACTATAGCTGCACTCCAATAACGTGAACGCACAAATAACCTGCGCCTCATAATCTGTTCAATAAAAAAAGCAAAGTCGAAATGAAAGTCGCACATTGCATATATGGCAGCAAAACAGTGTTTCAGTCTTTTTTCTATATCACAGGATTGAAATGTGAGTCGTTAAATATTACTTCCGTTGTTTCGCTCCGTAGGTTGACCTCTCTTCGCCCTACTTTTTCTTCAAACCGAGTTTTAGCAGACTAACGTGAGGATTGAAGTCCTCAGTTGACCTTGTCCTTGATGGCTTCACCCTCTATGCTGGGAACCTTCTTCTTGCTGTAAGCCTTCAGGTAGAAGCGTACGAACAATGCAAAGAAGAAGGCAGTCTCGATCAGTACTAGATACGTGTGCGGCCTCGGGTAGCCGCAGCTGAGGATGAGCGGCACCAACGCGTGCAGGAACATTATCACGAACTGGACGAGCTGGAACTGGGTGAGGTAGCGCTTCCACCACAGGTGCTTCTGCATGGACGGTCCGAGCAGTGATAGGCAATAATAGCTGTACATGACCACGTGCACGAAGCTGTTGAGGATGATACCTAGCGCCACCTGACCGTCGGGACCGTAAGCGAGACCATACCAGCCGTTGAAGACGACCAGGATGTGGTGGACGACGTGCAAGAAGGAGACGTGTGAGTCTTTCTTTCGAAGCACGAAGAAGATGGTGTCCAGGAAGTCGGCGATCCTCACTATCAGGTACCACCAGCAGAGCGTGAGCATGCTCATCGTGACCTCGTCTCGAGCCCCGTAGTTGATGCCCTGGCATAGAAGGCTGTAGCCGCCGCCTATATACGTCTTGGAGAGGAAGGCCACCACGAAGTAGCAGTTTAGCAGCACCATGGTCGCATTGTAGAGGATGATGAGTGGCTTGATGCCGTCGTAAGGTTTGCGGTCCTTCATAAACCGGGGCCCACCCACCTTGACGATGTAGACGTACGCCACTGAACAGGATGACGAGGAACTGCTTATTGCCGGCTAGTGGCCACTCCATGGTGCGGGGATCCCGTGTCAGGAACGGTTCGGTGGCCATCATGCTGTTGACCACGGTCACAGTTGCTGCCATGCCTGCTTTGAGTCACTACTGGATGTCGACGAAATATTCACCGTATTTTGCTGCCGTTTAGGGCTCCGAGTCTCTATTCTGCTTAGTTGTGAGTACTATACCAGCAGCCAGACAGGCTACCCAAGACCAGTTTTTTCTTCACCTCTGCCTGCCTCCACGCTGTTTTGGAAGGCGACAGGCCTCTGTCGGACGAAAAGCCTGCCTTTATTGGCCGACACGACCCTTGCTTGGAGAGGAGGGGAGCGTCGCGCTAAAGACGACGAGTGACGTACGAGCGGTGACACCCGGGAGCCGATTAACTACGGCCAGGAGGAGAGGAAGGTCGACGAGGAAGCGCCGCGTCGGGCGTCGGCACGAGCCATCGGTGTTTTGCGATGCGCAACGGTACCGTTCACCCCCTCTTCTTTCGCGGCTGCTCAGCGGTGCACTATCTTTACGAGAGCCTTCTTTCTTGACGTCAATGATGCTCTGTAATGTAGTGTATAATCGTGCGTTGAATCTTTAGAAAAGGATCAGTGAAACTTTGGTTTGTGTGAGTTGTCTTGAAGCAACATTTTCGGCGCTCAAGGCTTTTTTTTTTCTTTTTCAGCACCATAGCGTCGTTCATTCGGTCAGCGTTTCTCATATACCTTTTTTCTTTCTATTTAGAGAACACAGATGTTCAATTCAAGGGCCTATGATAACAAGACTCCAGTCGTTTTCCCACAGGATCTTTATGCCGTAGCAGAAACATTTTTTCGACGCTGAAGTGAAGTTTGCGTGATGAATTAGCGACACCTCGTAAATTAACGTTTTCAATATTAGCTTCGGAGGCTTTTATATTGGAAAGTTGTAGAGCAAGATAACTTATCACATTTTCCATTTATTAGAAATTACAAATGTTGTATATGTAGTTTGAGATATTCGTTATCTAACTTTAAGGGCGATATTGAAACTGATCGTGCCCGGTGCCAACGAAGCTCAGTCACTCTGTTATGTTGGACCGAAAGTGCCTGGCACCATATCGTAACGAAATTTGGATCAAGGCGCGCCCAAGCTGAATCTGCTCAGAAAAAACGTCACACTTGTCTCTGTCATGTTATTAACGCCATCCTCTGTGATGTGGTTCAGTTCTACTCCAAAAAACTATGAACCGGAATAATCTTCACTTTCCTAACTTACCAGTTAGCAATATTGCAAGTACTACGGCACTTCAGGGACGAGTCACGCTACCACAGCCGCTGGATAAAGAGCAAGGTAAGCCTGTTGCGTGCCGCCGAAGTGGCAGGAATGGTTTAGTTCACCTCACACCTGCTCTGGCGCCACCACTCCTCCAAAGAGAAACGCTTTCACACGCATCGTGCGACAGTATAGCCGTAACCAACGCGTTTCGTGGTAGAACATAACAGGTGCAATTCTGAAGAGTTATAAGGTGTGCCTATTACAGCACCTATGTAAACAGTTTGCCCTCGGAAGGCCACTCTTTCGTAGAGCATAGACCTTAATACTCTCCATCAATTCTGCCCGTCTGACTAATCTAAAATGAAAACAACAACAACACAACAACAACACAACAACAACAAAACAATCACAACATGTCCACGGACTGAATCATGATGAGTGGGGCGAAGTGTCCATCAGTCCGTGCGCACTTCTGTCCGCCCGTTCTTGCTTCCTTTTGTGCGTCCATCCGTCAATGGGTCCGTCCGTGCATCCGTCCGTCTGTCCATCCGTTCGTCGGCTTGTCTGTCTGTCGGTCCGTCCGTCCGTGCGTTCATCTGCTGATCCGTCCATCAAGCGAACACGGCGGGTACCCCTGTCTTGCATCCTTTCATCATATAATCATCCAATAGAAGTACCACCATTCAGCGGACATTATAAGAACTAAACGAGAGGTGGCTACCTCTTACTACTACAACAACTACTACTACTACTACTACTACTACTACTACAACAACAACTACTACTACTAATACTACCACTACTACTACTACTACTACTACTACTACTACTACTACTACTACTACTACTACTACTACTACTACTACTACATACATTGCGGACCCAAGACCCACGGCATAAGGGTCTTGGCCCCTAACAGGTCATCACTGATTCCGTTCATGGGGAGGCAATCGCCGGGCAGATTTCAGGGGCTGACGTATCGGCCCACCGAAACGCACCGCGAAGGTATGCATAATTTAAATGTAGGTCCCTTTAGCGCACCAGCAAGCTGTGGTCTAAAGACAGAGTTCAAACCAAGAGTTTTACAACACAAACAAAATATGTATTCTCAGTAAAGACATCACACAAACTTGCACACTCGGAAGGTTTCAAGTGTAGAACTCACAAAATCACTGAGAGGGTATTTAGAACCACAAGAACTAACTTACCACGCTACAAATGAAATCTCACGCATTACAAACTGCGCAAGAACACAGAGGCTTTGAATATTCACCACACGTTTGTACTCCACAATTCTTCGAACGTGTCTCGAATATTCCTCTTCAACAAAACATTGTAATAGGGAGCCTTCATGTACGCGCGTAGAGTACACGAAGGCTCCTTACACTGAAACGAGCTCCAGCGCTGGTCGTCGTCCTGGCGATACTCTTCAACAAAGTGTTCCAGTGGCGTAATAACTCAATTCTTCAATATAGGCTGACCGGCACAACATGACTCATTCGAATCGTTCGCACGTCAAAACTTCTTGGCCGAGTTCACCACACATCCTACGTTTCGTTACCCCTAGTTTGGATCTATCTTGGTTTCGCGAACATTCCAAGTATTCGGCGTGCAGCATGTACCCCATGTACCATGGCGACAGCCAGCTGGGGAAGGGGTTAAGTCTCGCCGGTTCGTCTGCGGAAACAATCCCCCCACCCAAAAAAAAATGGGCCCCATATCTGCATGTTAATCTGCAAATATCGTAGAAAGACGATAGTGTTGCGTGTAGAGAGAGTGAACAAAACATTTATTTGATGTCATGGGCAAGAAAATGGTGAATGGTATTCTGGAGGCGCTGCGTCAGAGTGCCTCGAGCATGCAGCGGAGGCGAACGAGCGCATCACGTCACGCGTGAGACATGAGCGCCATCTGGCAGTTCTTCAAAAAATGAAGTGTGCCGCCCTGAGACGGTCGTCCGCGCCCGTCTCAGAGGTGATTAGGTGTAAAACCCAAGGCGAAGGTAGGTGCCACCACCGTGTCGTCTTAGCAAAGCGTTGTAAACCCTCACCTTTTCGTGCAAGCGTTGCATGGTGAGCGCAGCGTGATAAAAGCTACGATACTTAGAATTACTTATGTATGCCTTTTCTAGTAAAAGACGCACATGCAGCATGTATACGTGTTTTTATGGTGCCTCAGATATGCGCAATAATTGATTTTTAATTGACAATCGCACAAGTATGAACGCTGAATCTTGAGCAAAATTGGTGGGCGCTGCGGATGGGGTCGGCCGTTTGGGGTAACGTCTGATGCTGTTTGAAGTAGCCAGTTCGCGTTAAAGGTGGACAAACAGACGAATGTACAGACAGACAGACAGACAGACAGACAGACAGAGCAGACAGACAAAATGACAGAACAAAATTTTTGCGTCGAAGGTCCCTAAATAAGACTGTCGTCTTTAAAGGGCCCCACTCCGATTTCTCGTATTCTCCAGATCTGTGTGCTGGTTGTCAGTCGCGTGTGTAGAGGGTAAGGGCGTGCCCTGGGCGCGTTTTGTTATTGCTTGTTTTTTCTTGCTTTGTTGCGCGCGCCCGTGAAGGGAACGTTTGGTGATAAATTCCATCCTGAGTGATTCGAAAAGGGCGCTCGTGAATTTTACGATGGGCTTTGTAGGGCCGATCGTGGCCAACATTATCAAAAATAAGAAACGAGACAATAAAATACAACTTACATGGGTGCCCGCTCACGCGAGGAATCCAGGGAATGAGGCGGCCCACCGCGCAGCACGAGGTTTAATCAATCGGGACGAGGACCCCTCAACCCTGGACATCCCGCAGGAAGGGACCACCACGTACAATGATATCACAGCGTATTACCGAGAGAACCGCGAGACATACGTGGTCCCGCATGCAGATATGTAAAGAGAATATAGGCCACGATCTGGAGGCAAATCCAAACACATTCTTTTCCGAGCCCTCACCGGCTGTCTAAAATTTATCTAGAATTGATTACACCCACCAAACTGCCGACATTGCAGCTGCGTGAAATCTATCCAAATCGCATTCTTCGGGAATGCGAGGGTCGTAGTGTGTAACCAGTCTTACCTTTTGACCTACAAGGTGGTGACGGTGGGAGATTTCTCCTGTGCGTTGATGAACAATAAAAAAATCGCAGCGCGCGCGTCAACTAAAAGCCGAATGCTCCTGTCTCTAATTCCCCATTAGCAGCCATTGGCATGTACATTGAGCACTATCTGACAGGAAAAGGTTGCTACGTTATATTCGCTGGGCGTAACCTCCTTGGTTTTAGAAATACTTAGCGAGCGTTGGGCTGCAGTGCCATGAATACAATGAACTAGTATATACCATGAGCTTGAGGTGGTTAAAGGTGGGAAGCAGACCCGAAGCGCAAGCTGTAAGAAAGTGTGCGTGTGCCACCTGTCGTTTAGTCCTTGGAATGCCCGCTGGATGGCGGTGCTTCTATATGGGGAATATATGATGAAAAGATGCGAGATGGTGGTACTTGGAGTGCTCAATAGATGGACGAACAGGCGCACAGACAGATGCATGGATGGACGCATGAACGGACGCAGGGATGGATGCATGGATGAACGCAAGGACGGACGCACGAAGAAACGCACGCACGGACGGGTGGATGGACGTATGGACGGTCACACAGAGGAACGCATGGACGGACGGAAGCAAGTACGAATGGACGGACGAATGCTTCGCCCCACTCTCCATCATTCACTCCGTCGATATGCTTCCATTTTTTGGCCACCGCCCCTTCTAACCACCGGCATATTAAATATACCGACCTTGCTATGCCGTCAATAAAGTTGTTTCTCTCTGTCTTGGCCGGGTGATTTGATGCTCTCGTCGGAAAGTGGTGGCGGTCGTCGGATTTAGCGCTCGTATGTGACAAAATTAAGTGCCCTGTTACAAATATTACGCATCCCAATACGCTTCTCGGCACTGAATATCTCAGGGGAATTCGTTGTATTTCAAAGTAGCGTCTTTTTTTCCCGTCCGAGCTGCTCAGCGGCACACAGCTTCG